ACACTTTAGTGCATGGTTCCCTGTGATCCTGGGGTAGAAAGTACAGGGCTATCTGTCTATGGAAAGGAAAAATAAGGGCAAAGAAGACAGAGAAAGAAAAACAGACTAATATGTCAATGTTGGGGGTTGTTGTGATTTTATCCTTCAGAAGTATACGATGGAAGGGGGTGCTATGAGTTACATGGCCATATGGACATATAACAGCCCAATTTCTTGGTGACTTAAAATAATATAAAATTATTTCTTACACAGAGCACAGTGAAATGCAAGTTTCTGGGACACGCAGTGGTGAGGACCCTTGACTAGTCTATCTTTTGGATGTCATGCATCTCTATTAATTTTCTTTTGGTGTGTTAAAATCTATAGAATTATTCTTGGCAGGTTATTATAAACAAGTACGGAGCTCTCTTCCCACATCTTTTCAGTCAAAATTCAGAATCATGGATGACCAGGACGTCTAGGTCATCTACACATTGAGGAGAGTAAGATAAACACAATATCTAAAAATTAGCCAAACATCTTTGCGACCCTGTGGATACTCATTTCAAAGCAAAAAACTGAACTTGGAACTTGAAATCATCGGTTTTCACTGCATTTCTTCACTTAGCATCACACTGGTTCCTAAACCAGCTACCGTACTTCCACAGCATGGTTATTGGCCTGTAAACTCGGAACAAAAGTCTGCACTGCTTTTTCAGATCCATAGACATTCAAAACCCAAATGAGTGCTAGAAATTTTGGAGTTCCATTATGTTCCAGAGACTTACTGGCTTCATTATATGGGCAACACTGGTGAGTACCAACTAAGAATCCATGTTATAAAATGGAAGTGAAATCTTCTTCACATTATTGTTTTGCCAGGGTTTCTTCTGTTCACAGTACCTTGAGATTCACTGTTGCTGGCTGAGCTTCTTTTATCAATTAAAGAAATGAAAGCCAATGATGCAGCATAACTCATTAGATTGTACCAGTTAATATTGTATCAAATTGGGAATCTTGTTTCTGAGTCACTTTAAGATATATATTCTTTCTTTTGTCCTAAACTCTCCTGACTAATGTACACCTTCTGGCATAGCATCTTTTAATGGTTTTTGCTGTTAGAATGCAGGCATCCTTGACCCAGAGTTAGTCATAAAAACTGGGACTGTATTGTGAAATTTCAAACTGCTGTTAAGATGATGAAAGAGAGATTTTATAAATAATCGGCTATGACATTATCAACAACTATATTTATTCTTTGGCATTCTGCTGAAATCCTTGCTATGACTGTTGCCAAGGAAATGAGTAAAAGAATGTGCGTACATTGAAGGAGATGGAAGGAGGCAAAATTACCACAACACGCAACAGATACTATATTTGTTTCTTTTTGTTGAAAACCATCTGGTGTCAATAAAAATGTTACTAATATGTGAAATAATGAATAGCCTGCGAACTAAGAAAATATTCATTTTTAAGATAGTTTACTAAATGGTAAAGTTTTTTAGGCAGCATAATACTAAGAGCAGATCTAACTGTAGCTACCAGCAATACAACCCTGCACTGGGGACAGAAGAAATGAATGCTTCAAAGGACAGATAACAAAACATCCCTATTATGTGGAAGGTGGATTTTGTCCAAATTGCCTCCCCTATGTCAAAACCAGATCCATAGACATTCAAAATGTCTCTTCACCCCTACTCTTCACCCCTACTCTTGAGTCTTTTTATATTTAGGGTTGTATTTATTTATTTATTTGTTCATCCATCCATCCATTCATTCATTTTTGGGGGCACAGAGCCTCATGTGTCTCAGATTGTCTTCCATTTCACTCAGTAGCTGAAGATGGGTTTATACTTCTGATCCTCCTTTCCCTGCTTTCCAAGTGCTAAGGTTCCAGAGGTGTTCCACTGTGCCTGATGGGTGTGGTACCAAGGATAAAACACATCACTTCATGAAGGCTAGGCAAACAGTCTGCCAACTGAACTCGATCCTTACCACCATTTTAAAAATGATTTTGCAGTGATGGGAACTGAACCGAGTACCCTGAAGATACCAGAATAGTTCTCTAATCTCGAGCTGTATTCAGGCCTCATTTCACTTTTTATTTTCAGACAGAGACTCACTAAGTTGGCTAGGTTGGCCTCAAACTTGTGTTCCTTGTGCTTCGTCCTCTTGAATAGCTGGGACTGTGGGTATTTACTACCAGGCCTGCCTAGGAATTACTGGATGTATTGGCTCAGTGTGGTTCAAGGTCGTAATTCCTGAGAAATGTTCATTTGTTCATTCACTCACTTAACAAACAAAACCTGCATAGAAGTCATAGACACAAGCCAAGGCACAAGCAAGGGGCCGTATCTGTTCTAGAGTGATTCTGTGTGGGCAAGCACTGTGCATGACCCAAATGAGTTTTCTGTCAGCAGAAAGTACAAACATTCAAATGTTTCAAAACTGTGCACTAATTTTTATTCAGGGATATAGACACATTTAATTTGATTAGAATAAAAAATTTATTCATTCAATTTATTAAGCACATCTACTTTTATACATTCCCAATAAATATGAATTAGACAACAAAATGTAAAACAACTAGCTATAAACTGATAACTAGCCAAAGACAAGCTTGGTAAGGGCTGAGTCTTCATGATTCTCACTTGGCTGTGGAGACAAGATTAGGAGAAATCGAAGGGCCCAGCAGCACCCCTGGAGGGCTGTGTAGACAAGCTTGACCCTCTACTAATGATCTAAAAAACCAGCAATTGTTTCATGGCATCTGGAACTTCTTTATAAATTGACAGTAAAGCATATTTCCACTGATGGTTTTCATTAAGTTCGTTGTGACATAAACATTTAAGACATGCAGTTTCATGAAGAAAGAAACCTCCCAAGTCAGGATGGTTTCAGTAGCATGTAAGAACAACCCCCTTTCAAAAGTGGCAGCAATTTAGGCCAAAAGAAAGCTGCTTGTCACACACTGAAAATACACACCCCAGAAAAGGAAGTAGAGGAAATTTAAGAGCTGATGTTGGAAACAACAGAGGTTGTGTTTGGCCACAATGAAGGCATAGTGTCAGAAAGAAGGAGTGTCAGCTACTGAAATACAGGACAACTACAAGCCCCAGAACCAATTGTATGAAAGTTGAGTCTTTCAAGAATCAGACATTCTAGTCAGACATATGTAACTGGCAGAAATGGTTTTTTATTTCTATTAATATATTTAGGGATACAGTGATCTGAATTTGTGTCCTTTAATACATGGATATTTGCTCTTAATTAAAATGCTTCATATCCTTTAATCCTTTCTTATCCTTTAGTTTTTTGCTGTATATGAAATTTTAAATCACGTAGAATTAGTGAGAATGTAAACTGTCTTTTATAATGGCTTTATTTTCATACTAGCAAAATCTTATTAAAATGTAGAAATGTTAAAATATTAAGTGTCTGTAAAATGTGATGCTGGTATTAATTTGGGAGGGTTTAAGTTTTTGAAATGGATATTAATTGCTCTAAAGATTGCAGTGTTATTCTTTGATGTTTCTGGAATGTATTCATCCCTTGAGACATGCCATTACACACCTTTCCTTCCCAGAAATTCTGCATTTAGGAACATGAAAGTTTAATTTACATAATTGACTCCTTTTCAATTTTTAACCCATTAAGTTTAAAAAAAAAGATCCCACTACCTTCAAATTTTTGTGGTTTCACAGAAATATTGAATATGCTTATTTAGAGAACAAATTTAATTGAAAACATTTTTGAAATGTATTTATGAAATACTCAATGACCCAGAAGTAACCCAGAAAATAACTTGCATAAAAGGTCTGTATTCTGGAAGGATTGATAATATCAACAATGGAAGAGTACAGAAAACAATTAAATATAAGAGTGATAATATTACAAGTTGGGGGGGGGGCATTACTGTCAACTGGAATGATTACCAAGCTGTAGTATAATTTGAAGGAAGGGTCTGCTTTAGGCTAAAGGAGGTACTCTGACCAAACACAAAATTCAGATTGAGTACATGAAGAAAGTTCATTGCACAGAGGGAAGAGAGAGAGGGGGGGAGAGGGAGAGAGAGAGGGAGGTGGCTCACCATTTTTGGAACTGTAATTCAGAGTCAAGTTCTCAAGGGCCAAAGCAAAGGCAATGGAGGAAAGAAAGAGAAATTGATTAGCAGGAAAAAAAAATGCCATGTGAAGGTCAAGGAAAATTTGGATTGAGATGGGGCCACTGAAGGAGGTGAACTCCAGAGTGAAGTTTCCAGAGAGCATTAACAGTTGAAGCCACAGTTTAGAAGTCCAAGCAGAAAAACAGTTATGATAAATGGGGGCGGCAGGAATAGCCCACTCATCTGAGGAAAAGAAAATTAGGGTCAAGGAAAGTTGTAGAGGAAGATCTGTGTGGGTGTTCAGGATGGATAAAATGTGATGAAATGAAAGTCAAATATCTACATGAATATGTGAAATGTATTACATTTCTCAAACACCGCAAATAGACAAAATTGCATCATTCGGAGCATTAGATAAATTTAATATTAAATGTACCATGAATTCCTTTGACACATAAGCATCTTCACCTTCCAGAGATGTAATTTTGATAGATAGCAAAATGTAGTTTGCTATTTTCCTGCAACAAGTAATCACCAGCAGTGACAAGATGCCATTTATGTGAGGAACAGTGAGCAATACTGGGAAGAGTCAGGGCGAGTACTGCTTTACTAACCAACTGGGTCCACGTGAGCAAATTCTTCTTAGTCCTGTGGGACTAAGTGTGCAGTAACTCGCTATTCCTGTTCCTGTGATAGCAGCATCTGCTTTAGGGTGGATACGTGTTACTTATTCAGCAACCTTACCAATGAGGAAAACCTCCTTTCTGACAATGAAGTGGTCCCTCAGTAACCTCTGTGCAGCCTGATGTTCCCCTAACTACAGATAACACAATCATCCTCTGATTCACACTGCCCATTGTGAGGGGCAATGGCCTCAGGATAGAGAGTCATGTGACCTAGGCAGTGCTGTCCCTGTGTCTCCAGGGCTTTCACTAAAGGTGGCAACATGAAAGAGGTATGTTTTTTATTTGCTCTGAGATTGCTACACTAGGGGGACAAATAAACCCAGAGCTTCGAGTTATTGTTGCAGCCATAGCAAAGGCAGATTCTTGAAAAGGAGGCATGCCCTGAAGACGCAGGTCATGTCTGCTAGAACTGCACGCTGCACTCTCTACCTGGCGTTATGGTGGTTTATGAACGTATTTTATTTCTGCTACCACATTGTGAGCTACCCTGAAGCAGAAATAGTCTTTAATCTTTCCAGATATGAACTATCTGGGAGACATTGTAACCTGGCTAGCCCTCCACCATCCCAAGATCTTTCCTTCTGTTTACTACTTCCTACTACAGAAATGGGAAAACTCCACATACTCACTTTCCTGGTTTCTACAACTAAATTTGTCTTTGGCCAGCCCTTTCCTTTGAGATATAAGTTGAGTACGTTAGGAGAAACACTGCATCTTCTAACGAATGAAGTGTGTGTGCTTCCTTTGGGACGTTTCTTCTCATTAGTGGTTGAAAATTCTTTTGGTGACTTTTTTCTGTGGTTGTGATAAACACCACAACCAAGAGCAACTTGGAGAGGAAAGGGTTTATTTTGTCTTATACTTCCAGGTCACAATTTACCATTGAGGGAAGTCAAGGCAGGAAAATGGAGTTAGGAATTGAAGTAGAAATTATGGAAGAATGGTGCTTGTTCTCCCTGGCTCCTGCTCAGCAAGATTTCTTTATAACCCAAGACTTACCTAGTCAGTGTTGGCCCTGCCCACAGTGGCTTGGGCAGACAGTCCCACATCAATCAACACTCAAGATAATGTCATACAGACTTGGCCAAAAGCCAGTCTGATCTGAGAAATCCCTCCATTGAGCATCGCTCTGCCAGTGAGATTTTTGGTTGTATCTTGCTGGTAATGAAAGGAACCAGTACAAACCTGGATGAGCATAATTGATGTCTTGACCTTCTGCAGTGCTGTTAGAAGCAGGCTGTAAGAATAAAATCAAGGAAAAGCCAGGATACTTACAATGGATTCTGAAGCAAGACTGAAAGTATGTACATCTAGATTTTCTCTCTAAATAACTTAAAATTTGACTAAATTTGTTTATGATCGTTTGGACCTTTTTGGGATTATATCACTAGTAATCCATGGAGTCTATTTAATGAGCAAAGGAATTTATTTGAGGGTTAACTCACAAGACAGAATAAAGGAATTTGTTGCAGGATCTTGGAAGGGTGAGGCACAGTCCAATACTGTTCTCTGGCAAGCTCTTCCTTGGTTTGTTCCAGCCTCCAAAACCATGAGGTATCATAGGGAAGGATGTTTGTGCATTCCAGGACTTAGGGATCCCCCCTCAAAGACCATGTCCCAGGGACATGTACCTCAAGGTCATAGGCAGGTGTAACAGTTACCTGCTACCTCACTAGGGGCAGTGCTTCAGGGCATGGCTCAAACAGCCACTCATTACAGACCTTATCTTATCAAGCTCAGGATTATGCTACAACCTTCAAGTTCTTCAAAGGGTGTGCAAACTGCAATCTGGATGTCATTTCCATGAATCAGTAATCTGAAGGCCGTGAAAATGTTGTGTTAGAACGCACATATGCACCAATGTCAGGGGTCTTAAGTAGACTTCTATTAAATAGACTTCTATGGTTTAGTGACTTTATGATAGGATCATTTGAAAGTTTATGATTATCTGTGCATTTACTTTATTATATATGGGCATAAATAACACTAAGTACTTTACAGAATTTGTATAAAAATCGAGCTGTGAAACCCATGCAAATGTATGGTACTCATTCTATACTTTGTAGACTTTTAATTTCCATTCCATCCATCTGGTTACTTATGTGTATATTTTATATGTATGCCTTTATTTATTTATTATTTATGTTTCATGTATGTGCCATGACATGCATATGGAGCTCATAGGAAAACCTGCAGGAACTGGTTCTCTTCTACCACATGGATCAAAGAATGCAACTTAGGTCTTCACATTTGGTAGGAAATACCTTTATTCAATGAGTTATTTAATGACCCTATTGAATTGTGAGCCTAATTAGTCTTGTGAATAAAAACCAGGAGTCAGAATATTGGGGTAATAACCTGAAAGCTCAGGGATGCAGAGGAGCAGCCACAAGTGACTTCTTACCGCTCTGGATTCTCTGACAAAAAGGCCGAGACCCTGTCTCCACCCTGCCTTATCACTTCTGTCTTCACCTCCCGAGTGTTGGGATTGAGGGTGTGTGCCACCATGCCCAGCTTCTATGGTTAGCTAGTGGGTAGCTTCACCCTCTGATCTCCAGGCAAGCTTTATTTATCAGAACTCAAACAAAATATCACACAACACCCTATTATATTTTAACCAGCTTCAACTCTATTTTAGTTTGCATTTAAGTTGTGGCAAATGGCAGAGACCTGATATAATACTGTTGTCTAATTGTACTTTTCCTTTTATTGAAAATAGGTTTTTTCTTTTATGCTAATTAGTTTTGCCCTCCCTCTACTATCTCCTCCTCATTCCCTCCCATCTGAATCCACCCTCTTTCTATCTCTCATGAGAAAACAAACAGGCTTCTAAGACTTAATAATATAAATTATGATATAATAAGATACAACAAAAACTAATATACCAAGAAAAACAAAACAAACAGAAGAAAAAGAGACCAAGAAATGGAACAAGAAATAGATATAGACTCAGAGAAAAACTCATTCACATATTCAGGCATCCCATAAACACAATAAACTGGTATCCAAATACATATGCAAAGGGCTTCTGAGAAAAAAAGATTACATATTATTGAGGGATTTATTAAGGTAACTTCACATAGTTAAAAAGGAAGTTTATTTGGGGGTAACTTACAACCAGTAAAGGAGTTGGTTACAAGATCCGGAAGAGGTGGAGTGCAGTCCAGTGGTATTCTTTGCAGAACTCTGCTCAGTCTACCATCCAGCATCTAGGCTCACAAGGAACCAAGAGACCTGGCACATCTGGATCTCGGGTCTTAAGAGCTCCCATCTTGGCCCTGCCCCAGGGGCAGGTCATAGGTAAGCACAGCAGTTACCAGAAGCCTCACTAGGAGCAGTACTTTCAGGTTAAAACTGGAACAACTACCCACTACATCTCCCCGTTTTGTCTAAATAAGAAAGTTCTAACATAATACAAAACTATAAACAATAGGAATGATTATCAAATATTGTCCAGGATGAATAAGGGATAATGACCTAGACAAGATGGAACTACAACCAATACAAACAGTATCAAACAAGAGATACTAAAATGTGAAAATCCAGAGAAGACTGGAGCATAGGTAAACAGCACATTACAAAGATCATTCCAAAAGGTGTCCTATCCTAAAGAAACTAAGCCTAATACTTAATACATTCTAGCTAAGATACAAGAAGATTGTTAGTATAACTGTTAGTCTTCAATCCCATCAAAGACCTGAGAAGGAATATAATAATACCTGAGAAACAGGAGAAGGATGCAAGCAACTTTCAGAAATCTTGTAAGAGTACACAGAGACGGCTGGCAGCCCGGACAGTTACCTAAAGTTTGTCAGCATCATTGGTGCATTCAAATTGGCTATAGGCCTAGAGTATCTGTCAGACCATTTTACTGTCAGCAGTTGAGGCAAGAGCAGTTCTTTGCCCAGTAGACCATTTTGTGCCAAGGTGAAGACAAACTTCCAAACAGAAATGTCTCAGAAGCCCAACATTCTCTCGGGATCATATTGGTGCTGTCAGGAGCAATTGTGTCTCACGTCAATAGAATTCCAAGTTATCAAAACATTTAAATGCTATATTCTCTAGGTCTATGAAGAATTGGAAGACTACCTATCCATCTGACATATGTTTCTGTAAGTCTGGAGAACCTAACTAACATAACTATAGAGATGACAAGCATAGGTGAATGTAAATCTATAAGACTTATTTACCTAGATACCCTAAGGACTAAGGCTTCATGTAAACAGGGTAAACAGTCTGTAAGTAAATGTACAGTAAAAGGACAATGACTACAAAGTTGTGACAATATACAAAATAGCTAAAGCAGAGGTAGGAATGTATAGTACAATATATAATATGACAATAATCCTAAATATATATCAATATACCAAATATTCTAAACAGAGGTAGAACATACATACAGTATGACAAATACAATTTTACACTTGTATCGACATTTCAAATAAGAGTATAAATACTATATATACATTACAACAAATATGGTTCTGTATTTGTATCAATATACAAATTATCTGGAATAAAATATAAAAATAGTTTACGTTTGTATCAATATATAAGAATCCATAACAGTGCAATTTATCTAAGGCTGGTATTTTACTAAATTAGTTTACTAGTATATACAATAATCTATCTTAACATACTATACATATAAATTCCCATTTTTTTCTTTTCTTAAGTGGAATACTGAGGCCAATGTTTTCTTACACCTCTAACCCTATAACTATTATCCTTAACCCTCAGAAACATGAAATCTTTGAGAAAAGGGGGCATCGTTTTCTTAGAACTGCTTCCTGCTGTTCAGGGGGCAACAGTATCTATGCAGGGTCCTGTAAGAAGGCTCAGATAGTTAAGTCTCAGTTGGACTAACTGTAGAATCTGCAGCCAGTCTCAGAGTAATGGGTAAGGTTGTCTGAGATTCTGGCTAGATGTGTAGTATAATAAACCATCTTATAATGGAATTATCTTGGAGAGTTTTCAGTCCGAGGGTTGATCATTGAGTAATGTTTGCGAATACCATGGCATCATTCTGGACTGGGTAGAGTTGTTGTTGTGGGACCCCATCATCCTTCTGGAGACTTCAAAGATTGTGGTGGTGGTGCATGCCTTTAATCCCAGCACTCGGGAGGCAGAGCCAGGTGGATCTCTGTGAGTTCGAGGCCAGCCTGGTCTCCAAAGCGAGTTCAAGGAAAGGCACAAAGCTACACAAAGAAACCCTGTCTCAAAAAACCAAAAAAAAAATAATAAAATAAAAATTAAAATTAAAATAAAA